ATAAAAGTACATGTGTTCTTGTTAATCCGACTTCACTTTATTCTTGACTTTTGTGTTTTTAAACCAATCACACTGGCGAACAGCGATGGGACACTTAATGGACTTAAGATGAATTTAAGCTGATTTCTAGTTTGATAAATCCGGCCCCGGGTACGCAGCTCTGGCCAGAGCTGAATGGAGAAGATTGGCGAAGACATTGGGTTATGAGCTACATACCGGCAGTGTCCATTTATCATACCTAATCCAAAATATTCAAGCATTGGATATTTTTCCAACGTTTTTACACAAATCGGAGTTATTGATTGCCTTGATCTTCCTTAAAATGCACTCTGCTGTCGTAATGCACTACGGCATGTCAGAACACTATCCATTTCCATATTGTTAAGTAATATGTGCAAAATAAAATTTTATTTACAAAAAGCTTAATTACACCTACTTGGTCCTTTTACGTTTATTTTGGTTCATTTGGCAAATGCGTATTAATATTTTTAGTCCGTCACTACAAGATCTGATCCTCAACTTTCAATTTCCTGCGTAAATCAACGTAGGAGAGCTTCAAAATATATAGGCACACCCTCATTGAATGTCTGCAACAGAGTCTACTGCAGGCCTACAAACTTACTTGACTTCTGTACCTGATACAGTACTTCACACACTATATAGCAGTACATACAGTACACTACTATCATGTAAATATTTGTATAATAGAGGGCGACTAACTGTCGGTACTCTCGCGCACATGCAATTTGCAAGCTGAAGACCTAGCCCAGGCCTCGCACGGAACGTCTAGGATTTCTAGGTAAAAGGCATAGCAATAAACGATTTAATATACATTTACAACTGTCTAGTAACACACTAATAACACGTATACACAATCTATACAAACACAATTTTAAATATTACCTGAATAATGTTACTTCCGTGAAAAATAAAACAAAATAAACATTTACCTCTTGAGGGACCAACCTATTTGTAACTAAACGGTTGGTTTTTCAAGGCTAGAATCTCAGCTATACCATTACCAATTTTGTTGATTGTGAGTTGTGTAAAAAAAATAAATGATTACTTCAATACACCATCAATCTCTCTCTCTCTTAATATATATATATATGTAAATATTCATTATGTTATTCTTCCGTTATTTTCATCATCTTCTTACTTAGTTTTAAAAATATGTTTCCGAACAGGGAATATTTCTTTACATCTGTGAATGGAATAGTCCGTACATTAGAGATAGAGAGCGTAAGAGAAAAATTATGACTAAACTCGGAAGTAAATCAGAGAAAGAAAACATCATATAAGTCCATGGTTTCATATTTGTAACAAATGATATTTTGTATTCTAATGACAGCAGATTCATATTGTAAAGAATATTAAAATGATTAGGTTGTTCTCATTAAAGCAGCAAAAGAAAGAAGAGGAGACATCGGGAAAATCGTCAGGTTCCAAGCCGAGAGGTTCGAGTGCTGCTCAGCTACGAATTCAGAAAGGTTAGCCTTGGTGCTGCGGTGTTTTGCCATAACAATAGAAATGTGTGATCTCTAGGCCTGGGCTTAGCTATTGATATTTCATTTTACTATATTTATTTTTATTATAAATTTATGATAAATATTTGGAAACTGATGGACATACCAGTTTCCCCATGTGTACAAGCTAAAGTTAGGTATCTAAATAAGCATCAATAAATCAATCAAAAATTATATTTTTCTTTCTGTTTTTGAATATTTCTGGATATCGGGTCATTTTGGCCACTAGTCGTTTGGGACTGGATTGTTTCAGCCTTGAGTCGTTTTGTTCCTGTTTTATAATTTCACTGGATTCTAGGCCATTAATTATTAATTTTCTAGTATTGTAGAGATTTACAGTATATATAAACAATAAATATTTTCAATCAAGTTGGTTAATAAAAGGATCCATTTAAAAAAATCCTCTTTCAGATATTGCAGATTTAAATTTACCACAGACATGTCAAATTGAATACCCAGACCCAGATGATCTTCTGGACTTCAAACTAACAATTTCCCCGGATGAAGGATTTTATCGAAATGGTCGATTTGTGTTTATATTTAAGGTAAGAAAAAATTAGCATTAGTGACCTAATTTTAAAAAAAAATTTTTTATTTGTTAAATTTGTATTTTATATATTTTGATTTATATATATTCAGTGGCGTATCTAGGGGGCTCCTCAAAAAATTACTTCGCCCCCCCCCCCCCCCCCGACGCCCTAAAAAAAATCATGGTCAAGTTGTTAAAAAGCACCTAAAATCACCTTATTTGGGAGTTAGCGCATCCCCTCTCCTCAACCCCCCACTTCATCTTCACGGCACCCATCAACACTCCCACTTCAAGATAGATATACAGTAGATATGCTGCTGTATATTACATAATAGATCTTGGTGCCTCTAATTTTAGATCACAACCAAAAATGTGTACGTATCTAAGATTAGATTAGATTAAATATACAGGTAAGTTTTAGGTTTTTAACCTTTTTAGACCCCCATATCTTAAACTCTCCAAAATTTCCAAGGGTTCTTGAAAGTTTTCACAAATGAAGAGCGTTTCATTCTTGTACAATTTTTTGAGAGAAAGAATTTTCTGCCTAGTAAACCTTTTGTTTAAACGTCTTCTGTATAAAAAAATATGTATCTATGGTTTGCACATTCTTTGGTAATCTAAGATGTATAAAGGTATGGTGTATAATTTTTTTATACCTAATTATTTTCATTTTTTTTTTTTAAAGGTTGGTCCAGGTTATCCACATGATGCCCCAAAAGTGAAATGTGAAACAAAAGTTTATCATCCAAATATTGACCTGGAGGGCAATGTCTGTTTAAATATACTTAGGTAAGTCATTTGACTCTTAATAACAGATTTCCTGCAAGTTTTTTATAACTAATTTGGTTAACATTCTTTTATATTATATTATTAACACTAGTACTGTATATAGTAATTCTCCATTTATTCTGCTTTAGGGAGGACTGGAAACCTGTATTAACCATCAGTTCAATCATATATGGCTTACAGTATCTTCTATTGGTAAGTCAAATTCATTAATATTTACTAATAAGTTTAATGGAAAACAGTTATATGTAATATGTATTTTATGTTTGTAGAATATTTGCACTCCATAAAAAGTTGAAGTTGGGAAAGTTGATAGAGAAATAGGCTAGTAAGTGGGATTTCTAATGTATGGTTTAGCCCAACCCCTCTATAAACCAAATTAACCCTGCCCCCTTGTATCAAATACCATAAAAATGATGAAATTCACCATTAATATACTAGATATACTAGAATGATTCAACCTCTGGTAGCTTGGCCCACTGACCCCTACCATAGTTCTTCCACTAGAATCAACCAGGGCACGTAGGCCCCAATTATGTGTTGCTTACAGTAATTCACTTATTCAGAAGAAAGGCAGTGAGCTAATCTCATTGCGTATCACATACTGGAGCTCATTTCCTTCCATCGTGTAAGTGGTGTGTTTTGAAAAATGAAATTGACATAAAAAAAAAACTTGTTAATTTGGCTGTTGATTATTATTGTCTTTTTTCTTTTTTCAAGGAACCGAATCCTGATGACCCATTAAATCGAGAAGCTGCTGAAGTTCTTCGGCAAAACCGGAAAATGTTTGAACAGAACGTAATAAAGTCAATGCGTGGTGGTTACATTGGAAACACATACTTTGAACGATGTTTAAGACTATGATACTGAAGCCAGCAGTGTGGCATTTGTATTAAGAAATCATTTATTCCCTTGTTATGTTGATGTCATATTCTGTTGTTTCTCTCAACAACAAATTACACGTGTCATTCCCTATTTATAAGTTGAAGCTTCCCAAGAGTGTGTTTTATTCATAGAGTAATAAAAGTATTAGAGCGCTAGTTCCAATCCATTCGATCCTCGAAAACTGAGGTGTTACTATAAATCACTTCAAAATCTACCTATCCAGATGAGTGATCATAAAAGTCGAATTGGATAACTACAGCATGCTTTCAAACGTCCATTTTTTTAGAGTGCACCAATAACGACGAGATATTGGTGCGATAGTTGTTGCCTATATTTTCTGGTGGTTACCAGATTTATTTCTGCTATTTTGCAAGCTGATTTTTTTATATATCTCTTTGTTGAATTAATTCCTGCTACTATTGCGTTGTAAACCTAAATGTTCATGTGAGAACATTTCTGTATACTACATACTTACTGCATATATATGCTTTCGATATTATTTAAATTAAAAAAAATCATACTAAACGAATCATAGGTAATTTTTTTACTGTGCTTAAAAAAATGTTTTTTTACTGATGATTTAATAAATAAATGATTGTACAGTATACCTGTAATACATTAAACGATAATACCTTAAAGCATAGGCATGATGACACTTGTGGTAGTGGTACTGTATGTGATTTTGATGTATCCAATTTAGTCTGATTTTATCACTGAACAAAGTTGTGTAAACATGTTTGAATTTGCATGAATTCTATTGGGAGAAAAAAAGTCGTACAAAACATTGTTTTAGTAATTGTCTCTAGCAGAAAGTGTGCCTGAAATGATTGCTCAATGGAAAATATGCACAAATGGGACAAAAATGAACACATGAGGGAGCTGTGTCAGGCATCGTGATGGTAGCTTGTTTACAAATTATATAATATTAAAAATAATATCTAATGTATCTACCATTGTTAATTATAATATTTAAGAATATAGTGTTTGAAGTTTAATACTAATTCAGGGGTGATGTATAATGGATGGAAAGTATCTGTAGATAATGGATGTCAACCAGATTGACCGTAGACCTACTAGTGCCACCCAAATTGTCCGTGTCATACAACTTGACCATGTATGTGGTCATTTAAATGACATTGATGGTTGCCATCATTTTCATGAAAATCTTTGTCAAAGTTGATTGATGAATGTGATAAGGATGTCCAGTGTGATTGTTGTGGTGATGAACCAATTTTCAACCCAAACCTTTTCTCCTTGTCAATTTTCATGATGAAATAAAACAATACATGTAACAAAATTGATGTGGCCTGTACCTAAGTTGGTTTGTGTGTTGTGTTTTGTTTTTATAAGGACAGGATGTTAATATGAGTTAATGCCTCTTCATTCACCACTAAAAACAGACCTGAACAATTTGAGGAACTGGACCAGGATCAATAACCATCTTTATGAACACATTCATTCCCAAAACATGTGTTAGATGATACAGTATAATTTAAGGTGACATTCTGTCACATCATAACAGCGGTCACAAAACAAAATAGAATTTCTTTAAAATAGTTTGTGGCTGAAATTGAATGAAAGGAATATTATTACTGTACATTGAATGAAAGGAATATTATTACAGTAGGTAATCTGCAATAGCATCAAACAAAGGATGGTATGGAGGATAAGTGATATATAAAAAGTCATTTTTACTCTATATTTCAAACTTTATTTTATTTATTTTATTTTGGTATGAAATACATACATCCATGGCCATCAGTTAAAAACTGAAGTGGCACGTTTACAAATAGCATATACCAAAAATGACTAAAAGTCATTAAAATTCAACTAAAGAACACATACTGAACTGTGAAATCGACCATTAAAACGTAATTTTTTAAATATTTTTGCTGCATCTATATTGTACTATAAAATTCTGCTACCTAAAATTTATTGAAATTCACTAACAGTCATTGTAAATTGCTAGCAAAGAAGGAATACATTATTTTTTTTAACCTTTCTATCCTAGATTTCATCATTGTAAATTGCTTAGCATTTCTGAAAGAGGACCTACTATCCTCTCTGATGTTGAATAAAAGGTATCTAAATCTTTATTTGTTGTTTACTTTAAGACAAAATATAAGGTTTGATATATAGAAGCATAGCTTGCAACATATTTTTTATTTTGTACTTCAAAAATGTATATTGAAAACAAAGTTTTTATTAAACCACAGTTTGGCTTTTATATAGTAAGTCTATACGTAATTTCTATGTGAATCGTACTACAATTTACCGTACGTAATTCTGCAAGGGATAATAAAGAACATTCAATAAGTCATTAATTATCACTAAAAGTAACAGTGAGCAACTTGGAGTTCTCTTCTGGTGACAGCTCGTTTTGATCGAACGCCCTCTATTCTTCTATATTGCTTAATTGATTGATCTGTGACGTCATCTCCAAGGCAACATTCTAAAACGCTCTTGCGGTATGGTGTCGGTCTAAATTCAAAACAAATAGCATCATGTGTACACTTTTGATAGCCTAGCATAGGAAATAAGAAGTTAACCAATATTGCCAACACGTGTGTAAGGTGTAGATTATAGACTAACCTAAACAGGTAATATTATTATAATATTTTAATATTTATAGAAAGCAAAATATAATAAGTCATACTGTCGCTGTCTGGGCCTAGGGTAGGCCGGTGTAGGCCTAGCCTAGCTAGGCCTAGGGCCAGGCCAACCCTAGCCATTCCCTTGTTGGATTCCCCATGCTATGCCTTTTAAGCTCTACTAAGCTAGAAGGAAGAGCAAGTATGTTTGGGATGGACCAGGCTATTTTGAAGACAGACAGAGATGAGAAGGTTTATGTTCAGCTAGGCCTACCACCAGTCAGTCTTTTAATGGTTGCTCTGTTAGTTGATACAATAGGCCTACTAGGCTAGGCCTACTTGGCCTAGGCCTTACCTAATAATAATGCCTGCTAAAATCCTGCTTATCCTAGATAGATGTTAGTGGCTACTAGGCCTATTGTTACACCAGTGTATTTAATAAATTCTTAATAGTGATTGGATGTTATTGTTTTAATCCAATGAGGAATTTGTTTTAGACTGGTGTAAAAATAGCCACTGCTGAATAGTGGTAGCAGGTCAAAACGGCAATAAACCAAAAGAAAACGGCAATAACCAAAATGGCAATAGGCAACAGACCAAAACGGCAATGATGACAAGTACCAAAACTGCAAAGGAGCAAAATTTATGCCAAGGGAAGTACCGCCGGGCGCGGCCGCAATTTGTAATCTACCGAATCGTCTTGAAATTGGCCCAATCCTCTGTAGGCAAATCGAATACCGTAAAACCTTGAATTGAAGCCCACTGTGCTTAATCTCGGGATGAAGCCCATCTCGAATTTAAGCCCCGCTTTTTAGTTTGCAAAATTAGCCCCTAAAAGAAGCCCATCTCAAAAAGAAGCCCATGGGTTTGAAGTTTTAATATTTATTTGGTTTATTGCCGTTTTGACTTATTGCTGTTTTTGTCCATTGCCGTTCTGGTAAAAAAGTGTTGCCATTTTGGTTTATTGCCGTTTTTGTTTATTGCCGTTTTGGTTTATTTCCCAAATAGCACATTGGCATAAGTTATGACATCCAGTTGGCCCTTTTTCTGTTCTCTGATTGCTAATTCAGAGTCTGAATGAAGATCAGTGTGTAACTTATATAAGCAGGTTCAGTCTTTCACGTCACCCTAATCTTATTCAGTGTTACATTATAAATATCTAATGAATGGACAGCAAAAAAAAATGGCCTTTCTTCTGCTCAGTTCCATCACGGCTTGTATCTCAGCTGGAGGACTGAAATGCAATGTTACAATTTAGTACATTGTATGTAACAACGGAAGAAATGTTATTATATTGTTTTTACGTACATAGGTGTTAAACTCTGTACATCAGAATGAAAATTAGGAGATAGTCTTACAGAGTGACAGACCAAATGACAAGTTGTCTTCTGTCAAAACACATCCAAATCCCCTGGGGCCCATGAAAAACCAGATCTCGCTGAATGTGCCATTCAGTTTGAAATATTTTATAAAATGAAATCTGAAGTATTTCTTGTAGATCCTTATGTATTTATCCATAGAACATGATGCTGTGATCTTGACTGACATCTACACTGTCATCTTAGCAAGTAATTAACTTCCTTAATCATCATGCCAGCCACAAACGATAAATATGTCTGCAAGACTAAGGAAAGGACATCAAGCTATAACTTACAAGATATTTCTAGCAGCCAGTTCTCACAATCTAATGATGTAATGAGCTATGAAGACCTTCTTATTGCACAATATCTTGAAGAACTTAAGAAACAAAGAAACAATAAAAAACGGTTTGTACAAGATTTTATGTCGTTGACATTGGAAAATGAATAATTGATTGGGATAATAATTGTTAAGAACATAAAGCAGGCTTATGCACTTACAGTCCAATCATTGTTTATTGTTAAGTTGCTTATTATTAATTAATATTACTGTGATCATTTTCTACATGTTATTTATTAAATAATAAATAATGATATAGAAAATGATCACAATAATATTATTTATTATTATTGCTTATTATTCTTTAATATTATCATGATCATTTTGTACATGTTATTAGATAATAAATAATGATATACAAAATAATAAAAATAATATTATTTATTTATAATAGCAACTTAACAATAAATAATGATTGTACTATAGGTTTTATCAATTTACATTTCTTGTACTGTAGTGCTCGTTTTAGGGTTTGATTCAATGTACTTAAACTTATGTATCCCTGCCAAGGACGTATTCATTGGTTGCGGTCTTTTAGCAAGATTATGCAAAAAACTAAGGGATGGATCATTATAAAATTTAGTGAAGTGGTAGGCCTACATAATAATCTAAAAAAGAGATTATTTACTTTTGGGAAACAAAGGACAAGGTCTTGGTCACAGAAATTACCCTGGAGCATAAAATAAAATAATAGAATCACCCATACATGGCTTGTGGCTTGCGTATTGTTCAGTATCATAGGGCGGAGGCACACTAGTTAATTTGTTTTTTTCCTTAAATGTTTAAATAGTTTTTAAAAATGTTAGTTTTATTAATATTTTTATGCATTTCATTTATCAATCTTGATTTTAAAGATTGTGTTCGGGGGTGCATATCAATACCCCATTGCATTGTACAGGAAAAATCTGATGAAATGCTCACAAAGGTAATTCTTAAAAACAAATGGCAACATAGTCTTGGCATCCATAAAATAAAAGGATTTAATTGAATCCTTGCTGTGAAGATAAGAATGAAGGCAAACTCAGTTACCAATACTTAATCTGAACATGGTGTTGCTAAGCGATGAAGAAGCCCAGTTACATTGATTTCTTGTAGTGTGTTTGAAGAATATTAACATATTAATTAACAGATACACTCATTGAGCTAATTCACAAATCTGAACATAGTATTATATATTTTGAATACCATGTCTTACAATTGGTCTTACTAAAAGAAATTATGAAAATTAGTATTCCAGAAATAATTACTGAATAATCAATTTCTCTGTAATTTCATTGATTTAAAAAACACATGTAAGAAAATTATAAATAAACAATTACTGGTATGTTCAGAAGTAATGGTAGTAGAAGAAGCATGCTTGCTCAATTATTACCCACTGAAAAATTCATCTTTCTTTTTAAAAACAGTGACAAATACTGTACAAAATTGCTGTCATAAACACTAGAAAAATAAATAAGTCCAAGCACAAAACAAACTCTAAAACGAGCACTACACGCACTGTAAAATTGAATACCGTATATAAGGTACTACAAATTTATTATAATTATTTTATGTATTTCCAAACCAACAGCAATATTCCACTTTCTGTTCAGGATAAACACAAAACTTAAAAAAAAAATTACTATCAACAACATAAACACAATCTATTATTAGTGATACATTATTATGTATGTATTTTTGTGTCTTTTTGTGTATCCCTTTTTTGTTGTTTTTGTATGGCACATTGAGGCTTTTAGCTGAATGAGCTATAATAACTTAAGACTAAGGGTAGATTAATTTTTTTCCAACTGTTTTATCCATACGCCATTAGGCAAGACTTTTTTTATACCTTGTTTAGCGATCCCACAAGAATGGTGATTTCGAATAAAAATAAAAATATATTTTTGGAAAATTAGCACACCTGCCGCTACAGAAAAATGGAAATTTCAGAAAAAAATAAAATTTTTCTTTATTTGTATTACTCCCGCCGCTGCCTTGAAATCCTCCAAAAATAAGATATGTGTATTTCTTCCTAATTATATCAAAATTTAAAGAATTTATCTATTCCATTACTACACTGTTTACTTTCACCAATGAAATTTTATTTTTATTTTCTCTTCTGTCTGGATGTTTGGCAAAACACTTTGCTAAATGAAAAACCAAATTTTATTTATTTTTTTTTTCCACCCTCCTCTGACGATCTATAAAAAAATAAGTTCGCGAAACAAGGTATAAAAAAAAGTCAGGCCTTAGCGTCATGGAAGGATACTAGCGCAGTACAAATATTTCGGTTGATCATTATCATTGCTTTAAACTCAACATCTGCATTTCTCTACAAGTACTTCGATAACACACATTAAATTTTCCTTTCATAATTAACAAATTCAGCTGTCGCTATAGAGACGAATCCATAAATTATATCAATTCTTTGGAATACTAAAAAAATTTAACTTTTTTGAATAACAGAGATAATGGCAGAGATTAATGTAGTTTACACAGGTGAATTTTTTTATTGAATTTTATTTGTGATTCTAGGTGTTCAGTTTGTTTTTTTGACTATGCACTGATACATAATTTTGTTGCTACTGGTCTCATCATAGATATCACTAACATTTGATTGTTTAGTGATATTGGTTGTACATGGTCCAGTAGGTTGCTTAGAATACATTCACTTTCATGGCCATCATGTGTACACAGATAACTGATAGTCAATACTCTATTGTTCTCCATGGTAACACTCCAGACTTCAGACACGCTCGCTACGACATGATTTGTCTGTTGAGCATAAAGGCAGTGGGAACTCACAATGTGGGAACTCAATGCAAATTGCATTCTATTTAACACAGACATGGAGGGAGTGGCAATCACTTTCATATGATAACATCATGCTCTAAGCATTCAGTCTCAGAAAGTAGAGTTTGTTTTGGTCGTGAGAAAAACAATCTGTCACTTCAAAGGCTTGAACCTTGATCCTGGGATAAAAAAACAAGCATCTTAACAACCAAGCTACAGCTATATTTTTATTATTAATTGTTATATTTGTTATATATTATTATCAATGTCATTGTTAATATTTCACTGTTTAATTTTTATATTATTATATATTATCCAATATTATTTATGCTTAATTTTATTGGGGTGCTATTATCTACTGTTATTCTGTTATGATGTTATTACTATTATTGATATTAATTTATAATATACTAATATTTGTATTTCCATAATTATTGTAGTTTTTTTTTTAGTAAAAATGAATTACTGTACTTAGATTATAACTTGATATTAATTGAACTAAATAAAATAGGATCCTCTATTCTGTGATAGGTGGTGGTAACTAAGGACCGTCAATTTATAATAAATAAGAAAATAGTAAATTTATGTCTCCTGAATTGCAATATACTGTAGAAGCAGCCGTTTTTAATTCAGTATCATCAAGTCATGAATATAGATTGATATTGAAATGAGAGCACTATTCTTAATTACTGTACCATGTAATTGACAAGTGTTTCTTGTAAATTGAGCAACCCATTATATGATCTTGCCAATCATTGAGATGGAAGATAATCATTTGCACTTTAATCATCAATATTGAAACTGTGTAGATATGGTTGTCAAAACCTTTTGCCAGCAAATTAGGTGCAGGCTGGGGGTGTTGATTACTCACTGACGAGCAGCCATTTTAAAATTTTTTTTCTCTTTCATCCAATTACAGCTGCTTGCTGTACATTGATTATTTACATCATAATAAATTTAGGTCAATACAGTGTCAGTTTAATTTGTCATTTATTTTTCTGTGTACTCCTGTTCTCTAGTCTTCATCAGCTTTACTACATTAAGTGCATTAAAAGTTGTATCAGCCAACTTTTTAGATTTTTTTGCACATAGATTATGATGATCTCTTTGAGTCTTCGTCATGAAACATTGTTTCATAATAATTATAATATTAAAAGATTGAAACTTAATTGCTTACATAAATATATATAAAGTATGCAATCCAAATATTTAATTTTTTCAAGTATTACCTTGACAAAGCAATATACCTTCAGGCTGATTATTACAAAAATTATTTTATTAAATTTATTCAGTGTATATTGATTAATAGCTAATTTGCATATTACCTAATGTTTGTATTTGACCTTTACAGATCAAAGAATGCTGCCAAGTTGCAGTCACCCTACCTGCAGAAATTCCCCCAGGGCGACCACTTGCCAAATACCTCATCATCGGCAGGCAAACGACCTATATCCGCATCGGTTGCCGGACGTAATGGTGCGAGGGAGAAGAGAAGGATAGATATGAAATATAAGGAAGACCCATCCCAATGGGAAAGCAAATCAGTAGAAGGTTCTGAACAGAAGAGGCGATCAAGGCCAACAAGTGCTCCTGTCTCTCAAAATAGAAGGTAAGTAATTCCCACACAAGCAAAACAAAAGTTCCTAATGAAAAATAATTGTACTTTAAAATATGCCTGATAAATGAAAAGTAGTTTTCAGTTATTTATCAGTAAATATTTACTTAAAATTAGTAATTATAGCGTCTTATCTTTATTTTAAAAGATGATACGTTTTTATACTTATGGTTAAATTTTGTTTGTTTTTGTAGACGTCCAATGAGTGCAAAATCATCAATGTCTGTGATGTCGCAAAGATCATCAAGATCATTTAAAAGCTTGTACAAGCAGCAACCAAGTGTCATCAAAGCACTGGCGTATAAGAATGGTTCCCGTCATGAAGCGGTTACTGTCACGGCACCTACTATGAAGCTGGTATGCAGGGTCTTAACTTTTTAGTCTCAACAATGTGTATTTGTTCATAATGACTAATCATCATCAATAACATTGTTATTGAAATGTTTCTCTATGATTTATCATAATAATTATCATCACCATCCTTCAGCTGGTGAATTGGGAAGTACACCGAGAGACTCTCTCTCTCTCTCTTGTATTGCCAGCCATGTCAGGCCTGGCAGAGGCAGAATGTAGATGTGAATGCAGTTGTGTTGTGGCCTTTTTTTGCTGGATCAAAAAGAAAAGAAACAATTAAATGCCTCATTGTCTGCTTGAAAAAAACATGGGCAAAGAAACATGATTATTAGAGATATTTTGCCCAATGTAAAATGAGAAAATAGTAAAATTTTAAATTGTTAATATCTTAATCTGTTTTGTTTTTAGTTCCTGGAGGCATGTACATTGAAGTTGGGTCTATTGACTGCTGCTAGGAAAGTTTACCTTCCCGATGGATCTGAAGTCAAGGACGGAAAGATGATAGCACGGGATGCCGAGGTCTACATCTCCTGTGGGGAACCATTTAAAGACCCTTATGCATCAGTCACAGGTAACAAAAATGAAATTATTTTATATTGAATTGATTTTATTGTATATTTTTATAGTTGAATAATTTCTATTACAATGTTCATGTATTAAGTTGAATACAAAGATATTTTAAGCAAATGGTTTTTACAAGAGACTTACAAATAAAATTGTTAAAAATGTGTACAACGTTGCCAAGAAAGCTAGTAAAACGGTCGGTACTGAAGAAGCAGAACTTTACTATGTGACAAAGATATAATTAAGAAATTTGAAATCATATCATTAGACAACACTCATCCACTTCGCAACTCTTTTGCTGTAAACACATCCGGTAGATTAAGATCTCCATTTATCAAAACTAATGGGTTTATTCATTCAAAACATGTGCAATCCAGTGCAAAAACAAGATATTTTCATTATGAGATCATAATACTGCCTGTATGTATACAGTTTTGTGCAATTCTCTATCATTGTATAACTAAATTGATGGTCTTTTTATATTTGTTATACTTTATATCTTTGTAAAAAGGAAAACAATTTCCACGACTTAGTAATGATTTCATGACAATAAAATTCATTCTGATTCTGATTAAATTGTATTTTATTCATATGAAATATTATATATTTATAAGTTTTTTTTTATAAAAAAATTTAAATTGTTTAATCTTGCAGGTGATGTTCATCGGAAGATACATGCGGCATGGACAGTTAATGGAGTGGTCATTCCTCCTGAAGATCGCAAGAAGAAAACCAAAGCAACACTATCAAAGAGAATGAGGTAAGGAGATAATAAAAGGTTTCTTTAACACCAGCAGCAAGTTGGGAACTTGCTGGCATACTTAATGTGCAGTCTATAATGTGTTGAAATTTATACATTCTGTAGCCATTCTGTCAATTTGCTTTGTAGGAAAATGTTGGCTTCTAACGCACGTCGAGTAATAGTGTTTCGAAATGGAGATGGGGTAGAACCCGTTGAAGCTTTAGCAACTCCTGACAAGTTTGAGAAGGTATGGCTCTGATCCAGATTAACAAATTTTCTTTGACAGAAAATTATCGTATGACCATATATAGTCATGATGTGCCTATATTTGGTCGTGATTTGATGTCATCATGCCATATTTAGGCATGTCACATGTTTTTATCAAATACAATTTGATAGTCTTTTGTCTTCTAAGACAACTTTTGTAATGAGAACTCTAGTGTATAAAGTGCATAGCACAATGTCAGTGAAAGTCTAAAAAGTGAAGAGCAATTATAAAGGATAAATATAATTTCAGCAAAAGTCTGAGCTTTGCTATAACTTAGTTTGGGGTGCAAGTAGGTACTATCCCTTTGATCAGGGGAACATGCAACTGGAAAAATGGAGTGAAGTAATGTGACCCAACAACTTTATTTTCTTAACAATTTTTTTTGATAAGCTTTGTTTTTATTACAGTTCCTTGATGTTTGTACCATGCGTCTGGGAATGAACTCACCAGCAAAGGTCATCTATTCGTGGGATGGCAAAGTCATTGAAGATATTAATAACAGTAAGTAAAGTTGTCAAAATTCACATATTTTAAAGGAAAATGGATTTTCCAAGATGTAGCTAACCATTTTGAATGATCTACCAAAATAAATTTTAATTAAAATTAATTTTTAACAATTTATTTTAATTATAGTAAACCAGCTGGATAAATGTCTTCAGATGAGTGCCACACCTGCCTATGGACCTGTTTGGATATCAAAAGGCGAAGGGTTTAGCCCAAAGGGATCTAAAGGTAACACACATAAATTATCTGTTCACATACACAACTACATAAAATTTGTACATGTCTTGTGATATAATTTTCCCCCACCGTAAAAACAGATGGATTAACCTAGGTATGTAATGTACAAGGAAATAATTTGATAAGGGTAATTGTTCATAATTCTAATTTTAAAGGGTAATTTATATTTTTATTATTTTAAATTTTAGATTACCTGCGGAATTCAGTCCTGTATTGTGAACAGCAGATTAAGAATGCGAAGAAGTATAAAGAGCAGTTACAGTTTGCCATTGATGAAGAGGATGAAAAAGTGACAGCAGTTCTTGTGCTCTCACTCTCAGAAGAAGAACGCCATGAGAGCATGAATGAAGTAAGTTAAGCTGTGTTGCTTAAAGCCAAGCACTTACTACGCCCGATGGTTGTTGGTCGACGCAATTCTATGAAGAATGCAACACCACGACACACATGCAATTGGTCGTTTTTTATTGACCATCCATTCAGACTGCCACGAGAATCAGGGACTGGAGTTGGATTCATTGGCCGACAGTCGTACGACCATCGGCCAATGCAGTGAGTGCCCGGTTTATTACTTAAAGAAGACCGTCAGTGACAGCCAGCATAACGAGTGGTCCTAAAGTGGCTACTCCCAAGCCAAATCTGCACCGCCAATGATTTCCTCATAAAAATACATTTAAAAAAAAAATCCAAAGCTCTTGAATGGTTCATAGCGCTGCCTAATATTTTCCCTTTATTTCACTAAGGAATTCACTGATAATTGCTAAAATTTGTGTTCTCTGTCTTTCAGGCCAACCAAGGCATCCAGGATTTCAGCTGTACTAAGGATATGCTTAAAAAAAACCTTAAACAAATTTCAGAATTAGTTCAAGATGAAGAGGTAAACATTTTATTTCATTTTTCTTAACACTAACATTTCTTTCTACTTAATGCATGAATTATGTTAGTATTTAAACATCTTTTAATGGGCTAGGGGAATGTGTTTTGATTTTTAGTTAAAATACAAAATATGAAATACGAAAAATGGAATTTCATAGTTATTTTAATATATATACACGATATAGTAGGCATTGTAGTATATACTGTAATACTAACCAATTACCAACGATTTTCCTATATAGATTGAAGGATATAGCTACACAATGAAACACATTAAGACGCTGGATTCAACACACAGACTTGTGGGAATGCATGGAATTCGCTTGAAAGTAAATAACTAAAACACAATATAATTATTATATTTATTTTCTATTGTAAACAAATTTATTCTTAACCATTAGCAAGTGACATGCCACTTTATAAATTATTATTGTATCTTTGATGCCTTTAAAACCAAGGACCCTCTGACTATTAAGTATAATTATTAAAATTTGTTTTTTCTATGTACCTTCCATTTACGTACATATTAGAACCAGGTAGTTAAGATTTTGTTTATTGTGTATGTGGATTTTAATGTTGTATGGGGGCACCTCGGAGGACCAGTGTATACATCTGGCTCGTGTACACTTTAAAGAACCCATTGAATCTTTCAGAAGAGTAGGGGTTACCCCAAGGTTATGGTTCATTTCAGCCCCTGTCGTTGTGGAATGATGTGAATATGAGCTACCATGAAGCGCCTCTTTACGGCTGCTAGGTAGACACGGACCACGCCCATACGTAATTCAGCACAATGACGTTGCAAGTTATGGCCTATTCTCCTACCTTTACCTTACCTTTATCTTTACTTTTTGTAGGTATATGAGAATGGTTTCAGCGACAAGGAGGAAACCATTTTCTTCAACATCAAAGAGGCTTACAAGGGATGCAGTGGAAACCACCAGAGGGTGATGCAAAGGGTATGTTTAGTCACATGACCTTTGTCACATGACCTTAGTCACATGACCTAACGACTGACTTACAAGTCCTTTTAATTCTGAAAATGGCTATAACATATTTTATTTCTTACAGTAATCATGTCATCATTTTTTTTATGTATTTAGTGTAATCTTTTATATAATATACTATATTATTTTCACAACCAATGAAGTACAGTTGTGCATATTGTCTACTGAATGACCAAATTATCTCTGTCTCTGTATTTTTTCTTTTCTCCCTAACTCCTTCCCTTTCTTCCTTCCTCTTCTTTCCTCCCTCCCTCACTCTCTAATCTTTTTTTTTTTTAAATTCTAGTTGTTGGACCACATAACCCACTGTGTACGTCCTGAACAGAATGTCTCAGCTCTAAGCTCCGTAGCAACCAAATTATTTGATGAAAATGGTCAAGAAATCAAAGACGTCTCCAGTCTGCAGAATGATCAAGGCGTTTGGATCTCATACGGGGAAAATTTCAGAGATCCAAATAGTAAGCAACTTCAGTTACTGTCACTGTTACTATTATCATTGTATACATCACAGCAATAATAATATCTTTATCATCAATTGTCATTACCGTTATTACTATCATCATCCTCCTTATCTTCATAATTATATTATCTGTATAATTATTTTTCATCATAATTTTTATCATCATAATTTTTATTATCATAATTTTTATAATCATAATTTTTATCATCATAATGAATATCAAAAGACATTTATTATCCTATACATAATTTCCTATCCTTGTTTAGTATACTGCCTGCAGTTAACACTTGACAAGGCCAGTGGATATTGTTTGTATGGATCTCGCAATGTGGCAATGAGAGAGCCAATTCTGGCTGACGAATTACCCCCTGGCAAAGAAAAGTAAGTATCATGTGTGCTTTGTTGAGTTGAGCCTGTTGATG